CTTCTGCCAAAGTTTGCACCAGTATATCTTCATCGGGCCCACACTGTGTTTAACCTTTGTGTTGACGCATTTGCAAAAAGGCAGTGACATTTGGGAGTGGGAGTGAAACGCGCTGCCACTATCGTCGTAGGGCATGTTCTAGATGAGAACCCCGTCAAGCCTGTGCGTGTACCATTTCGGAGAAGACCTTGAGCACGGCATGCCTAATTAGACCGATGTGCGTTTGGACCGTAACAGCCCGCCCGTTGACGTGAGATTTCGCCGAGGAGCATGTCGTGTGCATGCACAAGTTGGATGTACAGTTCCATCAGTTTGGCGGCGTGGCTTAGACGAGGTCACTCGCATGCAGCGTGACCGTCTTGGTCGCCCTGGCCCCGGCAGGAGTGCTGTCGTGCTCGGTCGATCCACCAGCCTGCGCCTTGGGGGCTGAGACGCTCGGGGGGAGAGAGCGCGAACCTGCAGACTCAGACTTGGGCGGGTAAGGAGGTGAGGAGTATGCGGAAGACGAGGAGGAGGAGGAGGAGCAGGAGGAGGAGGAGCAGGAGGAGGAGGAGGAGGAGGAGGAGGAGGAGGAGGAGGAGGAGGGGGAGGGGGAGGAGGAGGGAAGGAAGCGAAGGAGGAGGAGGAGGAGGAGGAGGAGGAGGAGGAGGAGGAGGAGGAGGAGGGAGGGTAGAGGGACAGCAGTCCCTCTTCTCCTCGTCGTCCTCGGTGCCCCCCTCCGCTTCGCAGCAGTCTGACCCCTCCCAGGCCATGGCTGGTGCCGCGGGCGCGCCTGTGGGCGCAGCGGGGCCAGGTCGCTTGCCCGACGAGGAGCGGAGGTGGAGGCGGATGGGATGGGGAGAGGGTGGAGAGGAGGGTGAGGAGGAGGGTGAGGAGGAGGGCGAGACGGATGATGATGATGATGATGATGATGATGATGATGATGATGATGATGATGATGATGATGATGATGATGATGATGATGATGATGATGATGATGCTGATGATGATGATGATGATGATGATGATGATGTGATGCTGATGATGAGCTGATGAGGATGAGGATGATGATGCTGCTGATGATGATGATGATGATGATGATGATGATGATGATGATGATGATGATGATGATGATGATGATGATGATGATGATGATGATGATGATGATGATGATGATGATGATGATGATGATGATGATTGATGATGATGATGAGTGAGGAGGAGGAGGAGGAGGAGGAGGAGGAGAAGGAGCGAGGAGGAGGATGAGGAGGAGGAGGAGGAGGAGGAGGAGGAGGAGGAGGAGGAGAGGAGCGAGGAGGAGGAGCGAGGAGGAGGAGGAGGAGGAGAAGGAGGAGGAGGAGAAGGAGGAGGAGGGCGAGGACGAGCAGCAGGCTGGAGGAGGAGGTGGAGGAGGAGGAGGAGGAGAAGTAAGAGGAATGTGGTGAGAAAGAGTGCGAGGAGGAGGAGGAGGAAGAGGAGGAGAAGGAGGAGGATGTCGAGGAGGAGGAGGAGGAAAAGGTAGAGGAGAAGGAGAAAGTGGCGGAGGAAGGGCTGAAGGAGGAGCCGAGAGGAGGTGGAGAAGGATGGGGCGGATGAGGAGGAAGAGGAGGAGGAGGAGGAGGAGGAGGAGATCCCCACCTCGCTCGCTCCCTCGCCTGCGTTTTGCACAGGTGTACCTTCACCCTTTCCGCGTCCTCCCTTTCCCTCGCCTCCGTTGCGTCCTTCTTCCTTCTCGTCTTCACCCTTCCTCGTGATCCATTGCTCCTTCCCTCCCACCCTTGCTTCTTCTTCTTCTGCTTCTTCTTCTCCTTCTTCTTCGCGTCCTCCGTAAGCGTTGGCTGTTGCTGGAGCTTGGCCAGGAGGACATGTTCATCGACCGTCTTTGCAATGATCTCTGCCTCATCATTTTTCCTTTCAGTGTCCCGCTGCTGAGGTTGGCGACTGCCACCTGCGAACGCAATGCGTCCAGCAATCGCAGATCGCGCACAACTGGAAGTCCCGTAGACTGATGTTCACGAGAAGTTGATTGCCGCCAGTGTCACGAATGCCGGCGTCCAGCGTGGACGGGCTGCCCGCCAGTGGTGCGTAAGATCTTCTGCCAAGGCGGGTGCCAGGTGAACAAGGAAGCACATTCTGGTCTGATTGCAGCAGGTAGGCGAGGCCATTCACGGACCCCTGGCTTGGGGGAGCGGGCAGGAAAGCCGTACCCTGAATTCTCCAGAGAAGCTGCATAAGCATAAACCGTCGGAGGTCGGGGCGGATTTCTTGGATCTGCGCTGGACCCGCAAGGCGGCGCCCCCGGCGCCGCCCTTGGCGCGCTCCGCGCGACAGAGAGGGGGCCCCGGCGCTGATGCAAGGAATCCGCGCGGACCTTCGAAGAGTTGTGGCTCTGTTGTTTTTGGGAGAGTTGCGGTGTTATGATCGGCCTGATGGTGTACGGGTGGATCAAGATACCCCCCCCCACGGAGGCCGACCGCAGGCCCTCCGTTCGGTTCGACTGCGGCACCAATCCTCTGGCTTGTGCAGCCTCACCTTCCACCCTCTGTCAACCAAAAACTCTGGTGGCGCCGCAAGCCTCACCGAGACTGCGCACATGTCGCCACCTCCAACGCTCAACCAGTGCCTCTCTGGACTGCGCACGCGGGCCGCTGACAGAAACGTCGGTCGAGTTCCACCGAGGCGGGGGTGCCGTGGTCGCCGTTTTGTTGGGAACGCGCCAGTGCCGCGGAGCAGACCCTTGCACAAACTTATGATGATCACCAGAAAGAATTTCGAGCACCAAGAAAGTACCCAACAACTCTAGGGTTTTCACGTGTTGGACCCTGGGAGACACTCGTCCGACACTGTTTCGACACTCTTTCGACACTTTTCCGGGTGCTCAAAATTAGTTCTGGGATGCGGTCCTGAAGTAGGACGGGAGCAACGTAAGCGCAGACATGAACTCTCAGGTCCGCGGGGATTTCTCGGATCGGCGCTGGACCCTCGCCCTGGCGCGCGGGGCGCGCCGGGCGGGCTCGGGGCCGATCCAAGACCTCTGGGCGGAGCTCCGAAGGTTTACATTTGCGCAGGTGTGCTCCCTCTGGACATGCGCCAGGTGCCAAGATCTTGAAGACACGCTTTGAGGGAATCGCAAGCAGTCCTGCACAACGCCTCGGCGCGGCCTCTCAGCGCGCAGGGACAGAAAAACGTTCGACGCCGGACGCCAGACGAAGCATATAATCCGCGCGGAGCTCCAAGAGTTTATATGTTTACGGAGTGGTTCCCCTCTTCTCATGGGAACGCACAGGCTTCGACGGCTCCCCGCCCTCGCCTGCCGAGCGCCGCCAGCGTCGAGCGTCAGCATCCCTATGCGCTGATCTGCCGCGTCCAGGCGTTGTGCGGGGCCGCTGGCGCAGCGCCCCAGGGCTGTCGTCTGAGGAGGGCCAGTCGAGACAAGGGCGGCCGTCCCCAGCTTTTTCTCGTCGTTTCTGGGCTTCGTCGTGGAGGAGGAGGAGGAGGAGGAGGAGGAGGAGGAGGAGGAGGAGGAGGAGGAGGACCTCCTCGTACAGGCAGGCTACAGGAGGAGGAGGACGAGGAGGAGGAGGAGGAGGAGGAGGAGGAGCCTCCAGCTTTTTTTCGTCGTTTCTGGGCCTCCTGGAGTCTTCTCGTCGCCAAGGCCAGGTCCAGGTCGAAAAACTGGCCAGCATGGATCGCGGGAGGGGTCTGGGGACGGATCTTGAGCGGATTTGGTTTTCCCTGGCCCTCCTCCGATTTTGCGCTTGAGTGCTGTTTGTCCCCGAAGGTTTGTCTGCAAGGCTTTTCTATCTGGCCAGTATCTGACAGAAAACGCTGCGTTCTTGTATCGGCGCTGAGGCCCCCTGGCGGCGCCAACGGCGCCGCCCTTGGCGCGCCCCGCGCGCCAGGGAGGGGGGGCCAGTCCAGCGCCGATCCGAGGAATAGGAATCCGCGCGGACAGCCGGCAGTTTATGCTATGTCACCCTTCGGTCCTCCAAAGAAGAAAGGACCGGGGGGGCCGTTGCCGGCCCTGGAATCGGTGACTGGACGGTTTTGCGTTAGGGTCTCCCGTGCACTAGGTCGTGTGCTTTCCCGTGTGGTCTCCCGTATGATCTCCCCCGCGGTCTGTCGGGTGCCCAACATAGTCTCATGGTCTCTGTATCAATAGTTGACTGTGCTGTCTAGGGTCTACTGCCGCCAGGGTGATATATACATATACAAACATACATGTGTATATATATATATATATATATGTATATATCGGAGGTGAGGGGGTGAGATCGAAGTGGAACGGAGAGCCCCCCTACCGGGAAATTGATTTCGGTTTCGTGTTCGTGCGTGCCGTGCGGGCGAGGCGAAGCTGCGTGGGCGGGCGAGAGGAAAGTCTCCTGTGGCTGAGGCGCGGCCGGACCAAATGATTCTCCGCCGGGCGGCCGGTGGCGCGCGGTGTCCCGCCGGTGTCCCGCTGGTGTCTCCTGTGGATGAGGCGCGGCCGGACCAAATGTCTCCCTTCCGGGCGGCCGGGGCCCCGCGGTGTCCCGCCGGTGTCCCGTCGGTGCCCCGTCGGTGTCCCGATGATGATGATGAGGATGATGAGGATGATGATGATGATGCTGATGATGATGATGATGATGATGATGATGATGTTGATGGTGATGATGGTGATGATGATGTTGATGTTTTACTTCGATGATCGATAGTGAGATCGATAGTGAGGTCGAATGTGAGATCGATAGTGAGGTCGATAGTGATATCGATTGTGAGGTCGAACGTGAGACCGAATGTCAGACCGATTGTGAGATCGATTGTGAGATCGATAGTGGTATCGATAGTGAGATTGATTGTGAGACCGAATGGGAGATCAAATGTGAGATCGACTGTGATGTCGATAGTGAGATCGATAGCGAGACCGAATGCGAGATCGATTGTGGGATCTATTGTGAGATCGATAGTCAGATCGATCGATTGAGATTGGTAATGAGATCGATAGTGAGTTCGATAGTGAGATCGATGGTGAGACCTTGAGA